CGTCATCCTCAAGGTGAACGGCCGGCCACTCAGGACCACCGCCGAGCTGCAGGGGGCGTTGCTAGGCGACGGGCCCCTCCTCCTGGAGGTTGGTCGCGGATTGGACGAGCTGCTTTTCAACATAGAGCCCCACGTCGTCATGCAGTGAAGAGGAGCAGTAATGCACCATGGAAATGGAGTTTGAATTATTTTTTTATTTTTTATGCAGGTTTGAGGTCAATTCCAATTAAAGGTAGTCAATTCAGGAAGTGATTTGAATTTAAACTTCAATAATTGAACGTAAAAAAAAAAAAAATTGCTTTTACTTTTCAGTTTATTGAGAAGTCATTGAAAATAGCTGTCCTTTTTTTCAATTATTGAATTGGAATTTAAGTTTACTACATGAATTGACTGCCTTCACTTCAAGGCCAACCCTGTTTTAATGTTATGTGTTTTGACTGTGTTCTTTGTTGTGACTGGGCTGGACTCACTACAGATGTACCGTCTGCATCCCAAAATCTGGGTACCCTATCCCCTACATAGAGCCCTATCCCCTACATAGAGCCCTATCCCCTACATAGAGCCCACCCCCTACAAGAGCCCATCCCCTACATAAAACCCTACCCCCTAATAAAACCCCTTTCCCCCCCCTACTTTTAGAGCCCTATCCCCTCCATAAGCCCTACCCCCTTTTAAAAACCCCCAAACCCCCTACATAGACCCCAAACCCCTAAATAGAGCCCACCCCCTATTGAGCCCACCCCCTACATAAAAGGCCCTTTACCCCCCTACAATACCCCTTTCCCCTTTACATATGGGCCCTTTATCCCTACAAAACCCCTACCCCCTACATGAGCCCTATCCCCTTATAAAACCCCAATCCCCTACATAGGGGCCCACCCCCTACATAGAGCCCTATCCCACATGACCCCTTTACCCCCAAACAAGAGCCCTTCCCTACATAAAAACCCACCCCCCTTTTATAGAGCCCAAATCCCCTACATATAGCCCTATCCATTACATAAAAACCTTTACCCCCCAATATAGCCCTATCCCTACATAACCCCAAATCCCCTAAATACCCCCTTTCCCCTACATATACCCCTACCCCCACATATACCCTACCCCCAACATAAGCCCTACCCCCCTTAATATAGCCCTATCCCTACATATACCCTACCCCTACAAAAAGGGGGCCCATCCCCTACATAGACCCAAACCCCCCTACAAAAGGGGCCCTATCCCCTACATAGAGCCCTATTCCCTACATAACCCCACCCCTCCCTATACCCTACCCCCTAATGGGCCCTATCCCCTACATAGGGGCCCTACCCCCTTTTTAGAGCCCTACCCCTACATAGACCCCCAAATCCCCTATAACCCCTATCCCCTACATAGACCCCCTTACCCCCTGCATTAAAACCCCTATCCCCTACATAGACCCCTATCCCCTAATAGAGCCCATCCCCCTTTATAGACCCCTTCCCCCTAAATAGAGCCCTATCCCCTACATAGAAAATACCCCCTTTCATAAGCCCTATCCCCTACATAGGGGCCCTACCCCTACTAGAGCCCTATCCCCTCCCTAGAGCCCTACCCCCACATAGGGGGCCCTATCCCTACATAAAAGGCCCTTTACCCCTTTACAATACCCCTTTATCCCCTAAAAACCCCTATCCCCTAAATTTTCCCCTATCCCACATGGCCCTATCCCCAAACATGACCCCCTTCCCCTCATAAAACCCCCTACCCTTTTTACATAGAGACCTACCCCTACATAGACCCCTATCCCCTACATGGGCCCCCAAATTTCCCCACAAGGCCCTACCCCCTTTACATAGACCCCTACCCCCCTACAAAAGGGGCCCTATCCCACTAGACCCCTATCCCCTAATAGGGGCCTATCCCCTACAAGACCCTATCCCTATATAGAGCCCTATCCCCTACATAGAGCCCTATCCCCTACATAGAGCCCTATCCCCTAATAGACCCCCCTACCCCCCTCATAGAGCCCTTTTCCCCACATAGACCCCTTTATCCCCTACAAGACCCCTATCCCCTAAAATAGAGCCCTATCCCCTAATAGACCCCTACCCCCTACATAGACCCTTCCCCTACTAGAGCCCTACCCCCTCCCATAGAGATAAAAAACCTACCCCAATAGGGCCCAATCCCCTACATAGGCCCTACCCCCCAAAATGACCCCTATCCCCTACATAGAACCCCCTATCCCCTACATGAGCCCTTCCCCTACATAGACCCCTTACCCCCCTAATAGACCCCTACCCCCCTAAATGGGCCCCCTATCCCCTAAAAAGAGCCCTATCCCCTACTTTAAAACCCTACCCCCTACATGACCCCCTTTTCCCCTACATAGAGCCCACCCCTACATAAAACCCCTATCCCCTACATAGACCCCTACCCCCTACATAGACCCCATCCCCCCCTTAGACCCCTATCCCCAAATAGACCCCCTATCCCCACTTTAACCCCTATCCCCTACATATAGCCCCCATCCCCTACATAGAGCCAAACCCCTACATGGGGCCATCCCCTACATAGAGCCCAAACCCCCCTACATAGAGCCCTATCCCCAAAAAGGGCCCCTACCCCCCCAAAACATAGAGCCCTACCCCCCCAACATAGAGCCCAATCCCCTACAAAAAGGCCCCCCCCAACAATAGCCAATCCCCTACTAGAGCCCTTCCCCACATAGAGCCCAAATCCCTACAAGAGCCCATCCCCTAAATAAAACCCCAAATCCCTACATAGAGCCATCCCCCCTACATAGAAAACCTACCCCTACATAGAGGTATCCCCTACATAGGGCCCTACCCCCTTTAACATAGACCCCTATCCCCTACAAAAGAGCCCCCCCCCCCACATTACCCCTATCCCCCTACATATACCCTACCCCCCTACATAGACCCTACCCCCCACATTACCCCCTTCCCCTTTTTTATAGAGCCCTATCCCCTACTTAAGCCCTTCCCCAAAAAAGGGCCCATATCCCTACATAGAACCCCTTTTATCCCAACATAGACCTATCCCCTACAAAATTAGCCCTATCCCCTACATATGGGCCCAAATTCCCCAAACATGGGCCCAACCCCCTACATGGACCCTTTTCCCCCCTACATAGGGGCCCTATCCCCTACATAGACCCCTTTATCCCCTACATAGAGCCCTACCCCTACTAAAACCCCATCTCCTCAAGAGCCCATCCCCTAATGGGCCCCTTTTCCCCCTATATGACCCCTATCCCCTAAAATAGCCCACCCCCCTTAAAAGAGCCCTACCCCCCCCTTATAGCCCTATCCCCTACATATACCCAAACCCCCTAATAAAACCCTTTATCCCTAATAACCCCTTCCCACTAAGCCCTTTTCCCCCTATTTTAGAGCCCTCCCCCCTACATAGACCATACCCCCTACAAGACCCCAAACCCCCCAATAGAGCCCAAATCCCTTTGCAATCCCCTTTTCCCCTACTAGACCCCTATCCCCTAATGAGCCCTATCCCCTATATAGAGCCCTATCCCCATATTAGAGCCCACCCCCTACAAGAGAAATTCCCAACATAAAACCCCCAAAATCCCTACATAAGCCCTACCCCCTAAAAGGGGCCCTTTTCCCCTACAAAAAGCCCTACCCCCCTAAATAGAGCCCTATCCCCTACATTGCCCTATCCCCCTTTATACCCTATCCCCTACATGACCCCTTTCCCCCCAACTAAGCCCTATCCCTAATAGAGCCCAAATCCCCACATAGAGCCCTACCCCCACTAGAGCCCTACCCCTTACATAAGCCCCTACCCCCCAAATAACCCCTTCCCCCCCATAGACCCCTACCCCTACATATAGCCCTTCCCCTACATAGACCCCTTCCCCAAACATAGAGCCCTATCCCCTATATGGGACCCCAATCCCCTACATGACCCCTACCCCCTACATAAAAGCCCTTTTTCCCCTACATAAAACCCCTACCCCCCTACATAAGCCCCACCCCCTCTTTAGGGGCCATACCCCTTACATAGAGCCCTATCCCACTACATAGAGCCCAATAATCCCTCAATAGAGACCCTAAGCCCCTACATAGGGCCCTAGCTCCCCTACATAGAAGCCCTTATCCCCTACATAGGGAGCCCTATACTCCTACATAGAGCCCTATCCCCTACATATAGCCCTATCCCCTACATATAGCCCTATCCCCATACAAGAGCCCTATCCCTACCATAGAAGCCCATTCCCCTACTAAGCGCCTATCCCCTACATAGAGCCCTATCCCCTACATAGAGCCCTATCCCCTACATAGAGCCTATCCCCTACATAGAGCCCTATCCCCTACATAGAGCCCTATCCCCTACATAGAGCCCTATCCCCTACATAGAGCCCTATCCCCTATATAGAGCCCTATCCCCTACATAGTGCACTACATTGGACCAGGGCCCATAGGGCTCTCCCATACGTCTCTGGTCTAAAGTAGTGCACTCTGTAGGGAATAGGGTGCCATTTGGGACGCCTCCACTATAAACGCTAGACATGGATATTTTCAGAGAGATGGAGAAAGAGGAGGAGTTTGTTTTCTAAAGACCCCTTTGCCTATAAACCTCATAGTTTAGCCTGGTTGCTAGGCGGTTGCTAGGCCGTTTCTGCTGTATGTATGTCCACATAAACAATCATAAATAAAGTACATATTTCAAACTCTAGTGACAGATTTATTCCTACATTCTGATATTTACATAAATAATGTGCACTAAGTCATCACACACTGCCTTTTACCCTCAACAAGTCAGTTTGATGGAAACAAACCTCTGGTGGGAAAATGCGCATATTTTTTTAAAATGCAGATTTTATCATTATTCCACGTGAAAATCTCTTTCAAACTGAATGGAAACCTAGCTACTGTTGGACTGAATGGGAAACCTAGTTTGCCGAGGGGATTTTGAAGGAGTCAGGCGCAGGAGGGTAAATCACAGAATAACAGGATTTATTCTGAACCACAGAGTTACACAGTAATGGGTCAAAACAGGCGCACGGGAAAATACACGGCTCACAGGGAATATTCCTGGCGATTACAAAATACACGGAGCTCCACCGAGCTTCTCTCTTCTCCACAATAAACAATCACACACAAAGACAAGGGGGCAGAGGGAACACTTATGCAGGTACTGTATTAAATACAATAACAACAAAATTAGATGTTTTAAGTCTACAACAATGCTTAAACCACAACAGAAGACCACTTTTGAGGTCTGGGAAAAAATCTAAGACTGTTTTATTTCTGGATGTAGATACCTTTTAATTCAGTGTTCGATGCCCTTTTATTCAACAGTATTGGTTAGCGGTGTGTGACCGACAGCTGTTCCACATCTGCACATCTGAGTTTACATTTCTCTCTAGGCGAGGAGAGCTCGGAGTGGAGGAGAAGCGCGCGAAGAGGCGGGAGAGCGGCGTCGAGCGACTGCGCGTCGATAGCGCCTGCCGCGGAAGGAGAGAGAGGGGCGGCAGAGAGCGAAGGAAGGGCAGAAAAAAGAAGAGAAGGGGAGGAGAAGAAGAAAGAGAGGAGAGAGGCGAGAGAGAGAGGAGAGAAGAGAGGAGGAGAGAGAGCGAGAGAGAGGAGAGGAGAGGAGAGAGAGAGAGAGAGCGGAGCGGGGAGAGCGAGACGAGAGAGCGAGAGAGGAAAAGAGCGAGAGGGAAAGGAGCGAGAGAGAAGAGGAAGGAGAGAAGAACGCAGGGGGGAAGCAGAGAGTAAGACGAGGGAGAGAGAGAGAGCGAAGGCGAATCAATAGACGAAAGTGCCCGGGGAGAGGCGAAAACAACCTATCGATCATTCTATCTCGCTAGATCTCCCTTCTCTCTTTTCTAGCTCTATCACCTCTCTTGTCTCAAACACACTCCTTTCTCTCTCTCTTGGCAGACCTTTTTTCTGTCTAAACAAACCCTGCCCCTGTTCAACTATCAGAGTAGGGGTATGTGTGTGTGTGTGTGTGTGTGTGTGTGTGTGTGTGCGCGTGTGTGTGTGTGTGCATTCCTGCGTTCCAGTGTGTTAGTGTGTCTGCGTGTGTGTGTGTGTGTGTGTGGAGAGACAGACAGACAGTAGGTAAACAGCGTGCAGACAGTCTCTGTTCGTCTGACTCTGACCGGGCCCTGGGTACACAGCTGAACACCTCTAGTAGAGAGAGAGAGAAAAGAGAGAGAGAGGGGGGAGAGAGAGGGGGGAAAGAAAGGGGGGAGAGTGTGTACTCGTGTGTGTGTGTGTGTGTGTGTGTGTGTGTGTGTGAGTTTCTGTCCCGCTGACCGGATCGTTTGAGTGTCTGTGGTATTCTTGCCAAGACATATTCTCATAGCTCTGCCACAGTTGACTCTCGTGTGTGTGTGTGTGTGTGTGTGTGTGTGTGTGTGTGTACTCTAGTCTAGGGTGGTGGGTCTAACCGCCCCATGAAGAGAGACCTCCATGCACCAACCTCCCTCCGTGGCTTGGAGTGTGTTTCAAATATCTCTTGCAGATCAATAGGCTGATAAATGTTATTTTCTTTAAAATCCTGGTCTCACTGTGTTGTCTATCATAGGCAACGGAAAATCTACCTTAAAATAATTTGATTAATTATTACATAAAATGTGCCTGAATGTATCTTAATATTAGTCTGTTCAAATGATAGCCTGCACGCTGTGTAGTGGTTCTGAAGTTATAGAGAGAATCTCAACATGCTGTGTAGTGGTTCTGAAGTTATAGAGAGAATCTCAACATGCTGTGTAGTGGTTCTGAAGTTATAGAGAGAATCTCAACATGCTGTGTAGTGGTTCTGAAGTTATAGAGAGAATCTCAACATGCTGTGTAGTGGTTCTGAAGTTATAGAGAGAATCTCAATATGCTGTGTAGTGGTTCTGAAGTTATAGAGAGAATCTCAATATGCTGTGTAGTGGTTCTGAAGTTATAGAGAGAATCTCAATATGCTGTGTAGTGGTTCTGAATCTCAATTGCAGTTCCTTGATTCCCCGCAACCTCTCGCTTCGCTTCCATTTTCAAAACCCATTGGATTAGAAGATCCCAGTTCACCCCCCTTTGACCTTCTACTCCAGTGGGTTTTGAGAAGGAGGCTAGGAGAGAGGACGCGAGGAGAGAGGACGCGAGGAGAATGCAATTGAGATTCTCCCAAGGAAATGCAATTGAGATTGTCCAATTTACAAAACGATGAGTGTGGAATCATCTGGTGGTCAAACCGAGAATTGTCGCGGTCAAATTAAATGCAGGCTGTAGTTTCAGCGCTGGCCGCTAGGTGGGAGTGTTTACCATAACTGTGGACTGGCCTCCTGACGTGGCAACTGGGTTTCAGTCCTCAAATGTCTATTCATTAAAACAGTTGGAATCTGTGCCATCAGATTACACTAATTACATGAATATGTGTTCATAAGATATTTATATGTATTCCATTATTTATATATTTGTATTTAATTTGAGTGTAGACATGAGATGTGAATAGCTAAAATAGCTGTCTTTCAATTGTGAAGAGATGTTGGTATGGATACAGAGGATATGTTTTTCCATTAACAGTGTAAAGGGTTAGGGTTAAAGTGTCGAGGGTTACAGTGTAGAGGGTTACAGTGTAGAGGGTTACAGTGTAGAGGGTTACAGTGTAGAGGGTTACAGTGTAGAGGGTTACAGTGTAGAGGGTTATGGTTACAGTGTAGAGGGTTACAGTGTAGAGGGTTACAGTGTAGAGGGTTACAGTGTAGAGGGTTACAGTGTAGAGGGTTATGGTTACAGTGTAGAGGGTTACAGTGTAGAGGGTAACAGTGTAGAGGGTTATGGTTACAGTGTAGAGGGTAACAGTGTAGAGGGTTACAGTGTAGAGGGTTACAGTGTAGAGGGTTACAGTGTAGAGGGTTACAGTGTAGAGGGTTACAGTGTAGAGGGTTATGGTTACAGTGTAGAGGGTTACAGTGTAGAGGGTTATGGTTACAGTGTCGAGGGTTACAGTGTAGAGGGTTACAGTGTAGAGGGTTACAGTGTAGAGGGTTACAGTGTAGAGGGTTTGACAGTGTAGAGGGTTACAGTGTAGAGGGTTACAGTGTAGAGGGTTATGGTTACAGTGTAGAGGGTTACAGTGTAGAGGGTTATGGTTACAGTGTCGAGGGTTACAGTGTAGAGGGTTACAGTGTCGAGGGTTACAGTGTTGAGGGTTACAGTGTAGAGGGTTACAGTGTAGAGGGTTACAGTGTAGAGGGTTACAGTTGTAGAGGGTTTACAGTGGTAGAGGGTTATGGTTACAGTGTCGAGGGTTACAGTGTAGAGGGTTACAGTGTCGAGGGTTACAGTGTTGAGGGTTACAGTGTAGAGGGTTACAGTGTAGAGGGTTACAGTGTAGAGGGTTACAGTGTAGAGGGTTACAGTGTAAAGGGTTATGGTTACAGTGTCGAGGGTTACAGTGTCAGGGTTACAGTGTCGAGGGTTACCAGTGTAGAGGGTTACAGTGTAGAGGGTTTACAGTGTAGAGGGTTACAGTGTAGAGGGTTAGTGTAGAGGGTTACAGTGTAGAGGGTTTACAGTGTAGAGGGTTACAGTGTAGAGGGTTACAGTGTAGAGGGTTACAGTGTAGAAGGTTACAGTGTAGAGGGTTACAGTGTAGAGGGTTATGGTTACAGTGTAGAGGGTTACAGTGTAGAGGGTTACAGTGTAGAGGGTTACAGTGTAGAGGGTTACAGTGTAGAGGGTTATGGTTACAGTGTAGAGGGTTACAGTGTAGAGGGTTACAGTGTAGAGGGTTACAGTGTAGAGGGTTACAGTGTAGAGGGTTACAGTGTAGAGGGTTATGGTTACAGTGTAGAGGGTTACAGTGTAGAGGTAACAGTGTAGAGGGTTATGGTTACAGTGTCGAGGGTTACAGTGTAGAGGGTTACAGTGTCGAGGGTTACAGTGTAGAGGGTTACAGTGTAGAGGGTTACAGTGTAGAGGGTTACAGTGTAGAGGGTTACAGTGTAGAGGGTTATGGTTACAGTGTAGAGGGTTACAGTGTAGAGGGTTACAGTGTAGAGGGTTACAGTGTAGAGGGTTACAGTGGTAGAAGGTTACAGTGTAGAGGGTTACAGTGTAGGGGGTCTATGGTTACAGTGTAGAGGGTTACAGTGTAGAGGGTTACAGTGTAGAGGGTTACAGTGTAGAGGGGTTACAGTGTAGAGGGTTACAGTGTAGAGGGTTATGGTTACAGTGTAGAGGGTTACAGTGTAGAGGGTTACAGGTGAGGGTTACAGTGTAGAGGGTTACAGTGTAGAGGGTTACAGTGTAGAGGGTTACAGTGTAGAGGGTTACAGTGTAGAGGGTTATGGTTTACGTGTAGAGGGTTACAGTGTGAGGGTTATGGGTTACAGTGTCGAGGGTTACAGGTTAGAGGGTTACAGTGTAGAGGGTTACAGTGTAGAGGGTTACAGTGTAGAGGGTTACAGTGGAGAGGGTTACAGTGTCGAGGGTTACAGTGTAGAGGGTTACAGTGTTGAGGGTTACAGTGTAGAGGGTTACCAGTGTAGAGGGTTACAGTGTAGAGGGTTACAGTGTAGAGGGTTATGGTTACAGTGTAGAGGGTTACAGTGTAGAGGGTTACAGTGTAGAGGGTTACAGTGTAGAGGGTTACAGTGTAGAGGGTTATGGTTTCAGTGTAGAGGGTTTCAGTGTAGAGGGTTTCAGTGTAGAGGGTTACAGTGTTGAGGGTTACAGTGTAGAGGGTTACAGTGTAGATGGTTATGGTTACAGTGTAGAGGGTTACAGTGTTGAGGGTTATGGTTACAGTGTAGAGGGTTACAGTGTTGAGGGTTATGGTTACAGTGTCGAGGGTTACAGTGTAGAGGGTTACAGTGTAGAGGGTTACAGTGTCGAGGGTTACAGTGTCGAGGGTTACAGTGTAGAGGGTTACAGTGTAGAGGGTAACAGTGTAGAGGGTTACAGTGTAGATGGTTATGGTTACAGTGTAGAGGGTTACAGTGTAGATGGTTATGGTTACAGTGTAGAGGGTTATGGTTACAGTGTAGAGGGTTATGGTTACAGTGTAGAGGGTTACAGTGTAGAGGGTTACAGTGTAGAGGGTTACAGTGTAGAGGGTTACAGTGTAGAGGGTTACAGTGTAGATGGTTATGGTTACAGTGTAGAGGGTTATGGTTACAGTGTAGAGGGTTATGGTTACAGTGTAGAGGGTTACAGTGTTGAGGGTTACAGTGTAGAGGGTTACAGTGGAGAGGGTTACAGTGTCGAGGGTTACAGTGTAGAGGGTTACAGTGTTGAGGGTTACAGTGTAGAGGGTTACAGTGTAGAGGGTTACAGTGTAGAGGGTTACAGTGTAGAGGGTAACAGTGTAGAGGGTTATGGTTACAGTGTAGAGGGTTACAGTGTCGAGGGTTACAGTGTAGAGGGTTACAGTGTAGAGTTTTTTTTAATTTTTTTTATTTCACCTTTATTTAACCAGGTAAGCCAGTTGAGAACAGGTTCTCATTTACAACTGCGACCTGGCCAAGATAAAGCAAAGTAGTGCAATAAAAACAACACAGAGTTACATATGGGTTAAAAAATACAAAGTCAGAAATACAACAGAAAATATATATACAGTGTGTGCAAATGTAGCAAGTTATGGAGGTAAGGCAATAAATAGGCTATAGTGCAGAATAATTACAATAGTATTAACACTGGAATGCTAGATGTGCAAGAGATGATGTGCAAATAGAGATACTGGGGTGCAAAAGAGCAAAATAAATAACAATATAGGGATGAGGTAGTTGGGTGGGCTAATTTCAGATGGGCTGTGTACAGGTGCAGTGATCGGTAAGGTGCTCTGACAACTGATGCTTAAAGTTATTGAGGGAGATAAGAGTCTCCAGCTTCAGAGATTTTTGCAATTCGTTCCAGTCATTGGCAGCAGAGAACTGGAAGGAATGGCGGCCAAAGGAGGTGTTGGCTTTGGGAATGACCAGTGAGATATACCTGCTGGAGCGCAGACTACGGGTGGGTGTTGCTATGGTGACCAATGAGCTAAGATAAGGCGGGGATTTGCCTAGCAGTGATTTATAGATGGCCTGGAGCCAGTGGGTTTGACGACGGACATGTAGTGAGGACCAGCCAACAAGAGCGTACAGGTCACAGTGGTGGGTAGTGTATGGGGCTTTGGAGACAAAACGGATGGCACTGTGATAGACTACATCCAATTTGCTGAGTAGAGTGTTGGAGGCTATTTTGTAAATGACATCGCCGAAGTCAAGGATCGGTAGGATAGTCAGTTTTACGAGGGCATGTTTGGCAGCATGAGTGAAGGAGGCTTTGTTGCGAAATAGGAAGCCGATTCTAGATTTAACTTTGGATTGGAGATTCTTTATGTGAGTCTGGAAGTTGAGTTTACAGTCTAACCAGACACCTAGATATTTGTAGTTGTCCACATACTCTAGGTCAGACCCGTCGAGAGTGGTGATTCTAGTCGGGTGGGCGGGTGCAAGCAGCGTTCGGTTGAAGAGCATGCATTTAGTTTTACTAGTGTTTAAGAGCAGTTGAAGGCTACTGAAGGATTGTTGTATGGCATTGAAGCTCGTTTGGAGGTTTGTTAACACAGTGTCCAATGAAGGGCCAGATGTATACAAAATGGTGTCGTCTGCGTAGAGGTGGATCTGAGAGTCACCAGCAGCAAGAGCGACATCATTGATATACACGGAGAAAAGTGTCGGCCCAAGAATTGAACCCTGTGGCACCCCCATAGAGACTGCCATAGGTCCAGACAACAGGCCCTCCGATTTGACACACTGAACTCTATCTGAGAAGTAGTTGGTGAACCAGGCGAGGCAGTCATTTGAGAAACCAAGGCTATTTAGTCTGCCAATAAGAATGCGGTGGTTGACAGAGTCGGAAGCCTTGGCCAGGTCGATGAAGACGGCTGCACAGTACTGTCTATTATCAATCGTGGTTATAATATCGTTTAGGACCTTGAGCGTGGCTGAAGTGCACCCGTGACCAGCTCGGAAACCGGATTGCATAGCGGAGAAGGTACGGTGGTATTCGAAATGGTCGATGATCTGTTTGTTAACTTGGCTTTCGAATACTTTCGAAAGGCAGGGCAGGATGGATATAGGTCTGTAGCAGTTTGCACAGTTTGGATCTAGAGTGTCACCCCCTTTGAAGAGGGGGATGACCGCGGCAGCTTTCCAATCTCTGGGGATCTCAGACGTTATGAAAGAGAGGTTGAACAGACTAGTAATAGGGGTTGCGACAATTTCGGCGGCTAGTTTTAGAAAGAAAGGGTCCAGATTGTCTAGCCCAGCTGATTTGTAGGGGTCTAGATTTTGCAGCGCTTTCAAAACATCAGCTGTCTGAATTTGTGTGAAGGAGAAGCGGGGGGGGCATGGGCAAGTTGCAGCAGAGGGTGCAGAGTTGGTGGCCGGGTTAGTGGTAGCCAGATGGAAAGCATGGCCAGCTGTAGCAAAATGCTTGTTGAAATTCTCGATTATTGTAGATTTATCGGTGGTGATAGTGTTTCCTAGCCCCAGTGCAGTGGGCAGCTGGGAGGAAGTGCTCTTATTCTCCATGGACTTTACAGTGTCCCAAAACTTTTTGGAGTTAGTGCTACAGGATGCAAATTTCTGTTTGAAAAAGTTAGCCTTTGCTTTCCTGACTGCTTGTGTATATTGGTTCCTAACTTCCCTGAAAAGTTGCATATCGCGGGGGCTATTTGATGCTAATGCTGTACGCCACAGGATGTTTTTGTGCTGGTCAAGGGCAGTCAAGTCTGAGGAGAACCAGGGGCTATATCGGTTCTTAGTTCTGTATTTTTTGAATGGGGCATGTTTATTTAAGATTGAGAGGAAATTACTTTTAAGGAACAACCAGGCATCCTCTACTGACGGAATGAGATCTATATCCATCCAGGATACCTGGGCCAGGTCAATTAGGAAGGCCTCCTCGCTAAAGTGTTTTAGGGAGCGTTTGACAGTGATGAGGGGTGGTCGTTTGACCGTGGACCCGTTATGGACGCAGGCAATAAGGCAGTGATCGCTGAGATCCTGGTTGAAGACAGCTGAGGTGTATTTAGAGGGTATGTTAGTCAGGATGATATCTATGAGGGTACCCATGTTTAAGGATTTAGGGTTGTACCTGGTAGGTTCGTTGATAATTTGCGTGAGGTTGAGGGCATCTAGCTTGGATTGTAGGATGGCTGGGGTATTAAGCATATCCCAATTTAGGTCACCAAGCAGTACAAACTCAGAGGATAAATGGGGGGGCAATCAATTCACATATGGTGTCCAGGGCACAGCTGGGGGCTGAGGGGGGTCTGTAGCAAGCGGCAACAGTGAGAGACTTATTTCTGGAAAGGTGAATTTTTAGAAGTAGAAGCTCAAACTGTTTGGGCACAGACCTGGATAGTATGATAGAGCTCTGCAGGCTATCTCTACAGTAGATTGCAACTCCACCCCCTTTGGCAGTTCTATCTAGACGGAAAATGTTATAGTTGGGAATGGAAATTTCAGAATTTTTGGTGGCCTTCCTGAGCCAGGATTCAGACACTGCTAGAACATCAGGGTTGGCAGAGTGTGCTAACGCAGTGAATAACTCAAACTTAGGAAGTAGACTTCTGATATTTATGTGCAAGAAACCAAGACTTTTGCGATTACAGAAGTCATCAAATGATAGCTCCTGGGGAGTAGGAGTGATACTGGGGGCTACAGGGCCTGGGTTAGCCTCTACATCACCAGAGGAACAGAGGAGGACTAGAATAAGGATACGGCTAAAGGCTTTAAGAACTGGTCTTCTAGTGCGTTGGGTACATAGAATAAAGGGGGCAGATTTCCGGGTGTTATAGAAAAGATTCAGGGCATTATGTACAGACAAGGATATGGAAGGATATGAGTAAAGTGGAGGTAAACCTAAGCGTTGGGTAACAATGAAAGAGATAGTATCTCTAGAGGCATCAATTGAGTCGGTCTCTGAGTGTATGGGGGGAGGGACAAAGGAGCTAACTAAGGCAGGTTTAGCTAGGCTGGGGGGTCTACAGTGATATAGTACAATTAGAAATAACCGAAACAACAATAAACTAACCATGTTTGGGCTGAGGCTAAACATAAACAGGATGTAGTACCGTAAAAAGGAACAGTCCAGCAGATATCAGCTGTATAGCTGAGTTATCATAAGGTCCGGTGGTGAAGCGCTAGTGAGTAAGAGGCCACGGCTAGCGTGTGCTACGTCCGTTTTGTTGTAGCCAGCTGGTAGCGATGAATCCGGAGTTAAAGGTCCAGTGATTCAGTGATTCCGGCGGAAAAACTGATATGTTCTGGGTCGATAACGCGCTGTGCAGACTGGCCGAATATCTGGTGATCAATGTCCAGTGATTAAAAATTAATCCCGCGGAAAAAAATCCAATATTCTGGGTGAAACACCGCTAGCTGTGGCTAATAGCAAGTAGCTAGTTCAGTAGCTAGTTCAGTTTAGTGAGTAAGAGGCCACGGATAACGTGTGCTAACGGGCCAGGGCTAGCAGATGGATGGAATCTTCGTGGTTAACGTCGTAACCACATCAGACGATTTCGTCGGCAGACCAGTCGTGTAGGATCGGCGGGGCTCCGTGTCAACACTAGGTGGTCCCGTCCGGTTGATAGAGAGGTAGATAGCCGGGAGATGGGCCTAGCTCGGGATGATTAGCCAGACCACAGCGTCCGTTTTGTTGTAGCCAGCTGGTAGCGATGAATCCGGAGTTAAAGGTCCAGTGAATCAGTGATTCCGGCGGAAAAACTGATATGTTCTGGGTCGATAACGCGCTGTGCAGACTGGCCGAATATCCGGTGATCAATGTCCAGTGATTAAAATTAATCCCGCGGAAAAAATCCAATGATCTGGGTGAAACACCGCTAGCTGTGGCTAATAGCAAGTAGCTAGTTAGCTGGCTAGCTAGTTTCAACTGGAGATTCTAGATTCTAGATAAAAGGTAAGTCAATAATAGAATCCGTTCCACATTGAGTGAGGCGGGTTGCAGGAAAGTATATTTTGTAGAAGGATGAAAAGTCTGA